CACACACACACACACACACACACACACACACACACACACACACACACGCACACACACATGCACACACAATGAACAAACCCGTTCACATCACCTGACAGTGCTGAATATTCCACTTTTCACACTGCTGCTGAGCCTGAAGCCTGTTTGTGTGAATCTTGTAGCTGCAGCTTTTAAAGTTCATTATAAGTCGAACATAAAACTTTGAACACAACATAAAAATCTTCATCAACTATTTAAAATATACCCAAAAAAGTCTGCGCTTTAGTCATGAAGGCTGTCAGTTTGTAGGATGCAGTGACATCTAGTGGTGAATCATCTGACTGCAACCAACTGAGACACCACCTGTTTTTCCAATCACAGGAGGAACAGCAATGTCTAGGAAAAAACAATTATTTAACTTCTTTTATGGTGAAGAGCAACACCTCATGTCATTGTTTTGGTGTGTCTGTCGCTGGCTACTGAATAAAAACATCCAGCAAACTGGTGAAATTAAAATAAATAAATAATTTCAACATTTCTGACTATTTTACAGAAATGCATAGGTATGAATATCATGTTGCTTTCTGACCCTAAAAGCTACAGAACCTCAAGAGACAAATCATCTGGTTGCAATTTTCAGGAACACCTCAGAGAAAGCAGGAAAAACATCTAGAATCAGATTTTTTTTCTAAAGAGGATTAAATAATCCACATTCTCTCACTGTCGACATAACAGCACCTCACATATTACATGCTGGCTGACAGAGATAATAGCTTTTTGATTATCCGTCCATCCACCCATCTTCTTCCATTTATTCTGGGTCAGGTCACGGGGGTAGCAGTCAGACTTCCCTCTCCCCAGCCACTTGGTCCAGCTCCTCCGGAGGAATCCCAAGACGTTCCCAGGCCAGCTGAGAAACAAAGTCCCTCCAGCGTGTCCTGGGTCTTCCTCTGGGTCTCCTCCCGGTGTGACGTGTCCAGAACACCTCACCAGGGAGGCGTCCAGGAGGCATCCTAACCAGATGACCGAGCTTCTCACCCTGTCTTTAAGGGAGAGTCCAGACACCCTGTGGAGAAAACTCATTTTGGCCGCTTGTATCCGTGATCTCGTTCTTTCGGTCACAACCCAAAGCTCATGACCATAGACGAGGGTAGGAACGTAGATCGACCGGTAAATTGAGAGCTTCACCTTTTGACTCAGCTCTCTCTTCACCATGACAGACCAGTACAACGCCCGCGTCTCTGAAGATGCCGCACCTATCTGCCTATCGAGCTCTCGCTCCATTTTTCCCTCATTCGTGAACAAGACCCCCGAGATACTTAAACTCCTCCACTTGGGGCAGGACCTCCTCCCCAACCTGGAGAGGGCACTCTACCCTTTTCCAGCTCAACACCATGGCCTCGGATTTGGAGGAACTGATCCTCATCCCAGTCGCCTCCCACTCGGCTGCAAATTAATTGTTGTCAGGCGGAGTGCTCCTCTTTTTGCAATTAGACAAGCAACATTAGATTCTGAAAACGTTTCTAACTGTGCTTGAAAACAAACACAAAGACCAATTATTGAACCTGATTTTAGATTTCTACTAGAGACTTTGTGATCAGGTCAATGAGTCCTGCAGAATCCTAAATTAATTGTTACCAGAGAACGGGATTGATTATTAAGGTCATCATTTAGCTCGTTTCGATGTCAATTTTTCATAAAAAGTCAGACTTTTGTTAAATTATCCAACAGCAGTGACTAGAAATTGGCCCAAAACTGATAAGTGATATATCTTTAATTCTCTACTACATGCATGTTTGTACTGACAGAAAAAAAAAGTGTTTTTTAAATATTTATTCATGTACTTAAATTAACATACTTTTTTCAAATTAAAATACTGTTTAGAGTATTTTGGGATTGTGTTGCTTTGGTGCAACATTGTGCATCAATAGAAACAACTGTTTCATATTTATATTTCTTATGCAGTGCAACATAAAATTCATTTGTATATTTATTTGATTATTTTTACTAGAAAAATGTTAGAATAAATGTCTAAACATTCAGTTAGATGCCCTTTACCCTAACTCGTTCTCACTGTCAGTGATTGGATCAGCCCACTGTGTTCAGAACTTTAACACGTATAACACCCCATATCTGTCCTTGGACTAGTGATCAACCCTGCTGCCTCACAGTACGACGGTCTTGGGTTCGAGTCCAGGGCCTTTACTTGTGGAGTTTACATGTTCCCCGGTGTTCTTTGGGTAGTTTTCTCCTGCAGTTCAAAAACCTGATGTTCAGGCTGACTGGAGACTGAACTGTCCTGTGGAGGGAGTTTGAGTGTGTGAGTGGATTTGGGTCTAGTTTGTTCCTAGGTGGCCCTGTGACGGACTGGTGACTTAGGAAGAACTGGCAGATAGATGCATATATATCTGTCCTTTTATACATCCATTTTTTATTTGTTTGCCTATTTTTGCACACTTTCAACAATTAATAACAAAAGAAACCTCCGGTTCTCTTCACCAGCATTGTTCCATGACTGCACAATGTTGGCATTTGGCAACATACTCAATTTATTGAACAAAAACAACAAAATAAGATAAAAACGCATTGTACAATTAGGTCATAAGCATCTAAAATTGTGGTCCTCTGCAAATAAAGTCAATCAGTGTTTAATTTGTTTTTTTTTAAATATTAGAAATGTGCTACACATGGGATGCCATGTGGCAACACTGTGAGCTGTGAGGTTCACGCAGACTCTCCATCACCCCCGTTCACCTACCTTCCAACGGCTGCTCTGCCTTGAAGGGTGTTTCTGCAGCTCCGATGCCGCTGGTGGAGGTCCCCAGGAGGTTAGGAAGAGAGGAAGACACAGACACCACAGAGGGTTTCCTCCTCCACTTTAACACTGATGGAAATTCATCAACTACTGGGAACTCATCTGGAGTCGGGAACTCGTCCTGAGGCACAGCAGAAAAACAAAAACAGAACTGCTCCACTGCAACAAACTTTGATTTAGACCCGTCCAGCCTGCAGGGTACTGGATGTGAAAAAACAAAACAAAAATGTGCTTCTTTTCTTAATTAAACAAGATTTTACTGAAAATTACAACAGTACAACATTATACATAATTCTAAGATGTATATTGATTTTGTGTGTTTGGATGTTTAACAGTTTGCTGTTATAAATGTCAATTAACATACTATTATTGGCTTTTTGTTCACACGTTATCTCATTTTAAGATATTACCTAATTTTTCGCTGTATAAGTCACACCTTTTTGCATAAATTTGAAAGTCCTGCGACTTATACACCGAAGCAACTAATTTACATTTTTTTCTCCCACATTTATAACACAATTTTTGGCTGAGATATGATAATTTCATTCATTCTGACATGGGAAATATTGAACATTGCCATTTTCAGCCACTAGAGGGCCCTCAAGTGGTATGGCAAGCCAAGTGTCTCATTAATAGGTAAAAGTGGCTATTAATGAGACACTTGGCTTGCCATACCAAGCCACCTTCGTCTCGCTCTGGAACTCCTGGAGCAAACGTCAAATCAGCTGCATTTTGCCTCCCAGGAGAAATGCAGCTGATTTGACCATTAAAGTGCATTTATTAAGGAGAAGTTCAACTGAGACACACCTTTAAGGGTTAATCTTGTTAAACTCTTGTTAAAGTCCTCCTGTGCACGCTCCTGTGGCCGCCATATGGCAGCCAATCAATTTTTGGCTCAACACCGGCCAACGTTTCCAGGTGGTCAGCAGTGATGCATAATAGATGCAATTTCTACGGCGAAGCGACATATTTATGGATTTTTCCACTTTATTCGACATGTTTGAACTGATGCGACTTACACGGCAGTGCGACGTGTACCGCAGCAAGTACGGTACTCGAAATTTTACCCAGTTACTGATTTACCTCTAACATATCCTGCATTAGTCATTTATTTATGGTCTAATAATACAGCTCCTTGTCCATAAAAGAAAAAAAAAAGCTGAACATAAACTGAACCTGCAAGCCTTTGAATAAGCAAAGACTAAAATAAATTAGCTTTTGAAGTACATACCTCATGCTCCTACCTTTGAAAACATTATTAGAACTAAAGTAATTTACTGTATCTTTTATTGTTTGCCTCTTGGGTCTTGCTCTATAAAATTATCATCACAACACGGTGGCATCATGAACAAACATCCTCTTTACAGGAGTTACAAAAGTTTGATCAAGGTCAAGTGTGCAAAAAGAGCCTTATTAATGCTAAACACAAAAGCCTTTCTGTTACAAGGCAGCCTGTTGTGCACACACACATGCACACACACAAAGACAAGGTGACTTCAGAGAGCTGTTTGATAGCATCTTGCCGACTCGGGGAATAATTCACCGCAGGCCCTAAGCTGCAACACGACGACGAATTGATCCCGAGTCTGTACGAAGGTAAAGTCAGCCCTTCATGCTTCTCACAACATGTTGATATTTACGTAGATCTTTACATTTTTCAAGATTGTACCGTAGTTAATGAAAAGTGTTTTCCTCTTTCAAAGGCGCTCCACTCACCAGCGATAGAGTCGGCTCCTCCATGAACTGTTTCAAGCTCAGGCTCTTCCCGTTGACCTGCAGAGAGAAATCACAGTGCTTACAGACAGATGTGCCACACAGCATGGACTGAATGAGTATGTGTGGTGTGTGTTCACTGACCTGTAGGTGTGTGCAGATTCTGCGGAGGACATCATACACACTGTCCCTTGACAGCAGAGAGACAAATACATACTGAAGAAATAAAAGAGGAGAAGAGAATATGAAAAATCCTGTTAATATACTGGTTTAAATTAACATAATGTGCTAAAACGTAAAAATAAAGTGTTTTTAAAACTTGTTAAGGGCTCCATTCACTTTAGACTAACACATATTCTGATTTGATTAGGACATATTGAGAAGGCAGAAGGTATTCTGCTTTATATTTGTGCCAACATTAAGTGCTGCATACATATTTCTAGATAAAAACCTTAGTTCAGTAACAGTGATGCTGTTAGCGTGCAGTCAGTAAATGTATTATTAATTAAACCAATGTCTACAAATGTGGACATTTTTGGGCAAAAGGGGACATTTAGACTAAAGTTATTACAGGAAATCATATTATTTTATAATTAACACATTTTCTCAAATCCATTAATGTTCCAGTTGACGTTTCTATGTAAATTCTGAATCAAAGCTCAATAATAGGTCAAACAAATACTAATAAAAACTCCAAGAGCATACTGTATATTTCAAGATTCCACCTGATTATAGATCACAGATTATTCTGCTAACTTTATTTTGTGTTGTAGTTTCACACCTGCTCCTACAAGCTGCCACATCTGCACTGCATCTGTCATTAAACCCCACAATATGTAGATCCAAGTTTTCTTTGTTATCTGTCATTTTGTCATTGTTATGACCGTTTTTCATATCTTCCCTGCATCTTCTTGTCTGATGTGCATACAACCTGTTAAATATGTGCCTTTAGTTGGTTTTAGCAGTATATAAATATATTTTGTTTCTTTATTATCCCTCTAATTCCTATATTATTAGGAATTACTTCCACTACATTATTTTGTTTAGTACATATCTTAGATCATTTTATAATGTTCATTTTTTTATACTTCATATATTTTTGCTATTTTTGGATGTAACTGGGACACTGTGTACACAATTTCATTCCACCTCATGTACCACATGTGATGTGAATGACAATAAAAAACCTTGAACCTTCTTGACAAAGAGTCTTATTTAGTCCTCAACAAGGAAAAATGTTTTTCCTGAGTTAATAATTCCAGTCCTAAATTTAGGTCAAAACTTGCAATACTCAAAAATGACAACAATAATAATTTTAAAAAAAAAGTCACTCTATGAACCATCTGTTAGCATGTTAAATGTAAAAGTTAACTGCCCTATTAAATACATCTGGATAGGTGTTGCCTGTTGCCTGTTCTAAAGCATATTGAGCAAAATACTTCACTGCGTATCTAAACCAACCAGCAGCAGAGCTTAGGTTTATCAAATTACATCAGACAAAAAGATGGAGATGTTGGGCTACAATAAACAGCACTAGGTTTAGTGAAAACTGTATCTTGGTGTAATGATAATAAAACTTATTCTGATTCTATCAACACAAATGCCTCATACCAACTATGAAGCACAGTGGTGGGATGTTGATGGTTTGGGGTTTGTTTTACAGCCACATGACCTGGACACCCAAAGGTAGTGTCTGATTGGACCGTGACTGTTGGAGACTAGATGGCAACTTGAAATTGTGAGAAAATTGTTAGAAATCGGGCAAATTTTCTCTTTGCCGTCACTTGAGACTGCAATGAAAAGTGACCAGTGAGCTGTGCTATCTTGTTTTGCACAACCTATTTTTGTGTGCATGGCTTACAAAGATTATCATAGACTGTGCACATTATTTTGTTGCTCTGTCCATATTTGTACCCACCCTGGCAGCTGCTGAGGATGAGATTGTTTTCTCTGCACCATCACGTCAGGTCTTCCACCTCCCACCTGTACAATGACTTATCTCTATGGGTGATGAGCCTGACTCTACTGTAGTATAATTCTAATAATGAATGTAGTCTGTGTGGTACCACTACCAAAAACCAAACATTCCAAGGACCTCAGTAACTACAGGCCGGTGGCTCTGACCTCACATTTGATGAAGACACTCGAGAGGCTGGTCCTCAACCATTTGCGCCACCTGGTGAGGTCTTCGTTGGATCCGTTGCAGTTTGCCTACCGGCCTGGCATCAGGGTGGATGATGCCATCATCTACCTCAGGCACCAAGCTCTGACCCACCTGGAGAAACCTGGAAGCACCGTGAGGATCATGTTCTTTGATTTCTCCAGTGCTTTCAACACCATCCAGCCAGGACTTCTGCGGGACAAGCTGGAGTTATCAGGAGTGGATCACCACATGTCCCAGTGGATACTGGATTACCTCACTGGACGCCCACAGTATGTGAGGACTCAGGGCTGTGTCTCTGACATGCTGGTCTGCAGTACGGGGGTCCCACAGGGAACAGTGCTGGCACGTTCCTCTTCACCCTCTACACTGCAGACTTCACCATTGACTCCCCACACTGCCATCTGCAAAAGTTCTCTGATGACTCTGCCATAGTCGGCCTCATCACAGGTGAGGACGACTCAGAGTACAGACAGCGGACTCAAGACTTTGTGGACTGGTGCCAGCAGAACCACCTCCTGATCAATGCTGCTAAAACTAAGGAGCTGGTGGTGGATTTCTGCAGGCACAGGTCCACCTCACTGACCCCAGTGAACATCCAGGGAGTGGACATTGAGATCGTGGACTCTTACAAGTACCTGGGTGTTCACCTGAACAATAAACTGGACTGGTCTCACAACACTGATGCACTTCACAGGAAGGGTCAGAGCAGACTCTACCTGCTGAGGAGACTGAGGTCTTTTGGAGTGCAGGGGGTGCTCCTGAAGACCTTATTTGACACAGTAGTGGCATCAGCCATCTTCTACGGTGTTGTGTGTTGGAGCAGCAGCTTATCATCAGCTGAGAAGAAGCAGCTAGATAAGCTCATCAAGAAAGCCAGCTCTGTGCTTGGACGCCCCCTCAACCCAGTGCAGGTGGTGGGAGACAGAAGGACTCTAGCTAAAATAACATCATTGCTGGACAACATCTCCCACCCCATGCATGAAGCTGTTGCTGAACTGGAGAGCTCGTTCAGTGACAGATTACTGCATCCTAAATTCACAGCGTTACCGCAGGTCCTTCCTCCCAGCAGCTGTTAGACTCTACAACCATCACTGCTCCCAACAAACTCAATAAGGATTAACTACATGCTGACCTCTGCTAAAATACACACTCTGCCTGTAATACTGTACTGTAAATAGTCTGTCCTTATCAATGTTCCAATACATACTGAACATTATTATTGATATTGTTTATCTTATTTCTTTATATATTGTATTGTCTATTAATATTTAGGAACTTTTGTGTGAAATCTTTTTATCTGTTGCTGTTGTTGCTGCTGTTACACTTGAATTTCCCCTCCGTGGGACAATAAAGGCTGTTTCTATTCTATTCTAGTCTTGGAGCACCTATTCAGTATTCATTATTTATCATCTGCATGGTCAGATCTGAACATCTGGGGCACCAGATGTTTTCTGTTGGAGCAGAGCTCCTGTGCAGGTGTTAAAATCCAACCCCAGAGCTCTAGAATTACAGACACAACAGTGAGAATGGTTTGAGCCACTCACAACATCTTGGCAACATATTTGAAACTATTTTTGAGAACAAGTTCAAAATTGAAACAAAACTGCAAGCCTCTCCAACTCAGGAGAGGATACTGAGAACACCTGTAAACATTTCAAGACACTAGAGACCTTGGCAGCATCATGTCTCAACGATTAGCATCCCGTAGTGTCAGTATGAACACCACATCCTCCACCATTGTCATGAGCTCACCCCAGGGCTGTGTGCTCAGCCCACTGCTGTTTACCTTTAGTACTAGTGACTGCAGAGCTCACCTCAACCAGAACTTTGTGGTGAAGTTTAGTCAGGCTCATCACCCATAGACATAAGTCATTGTACAGGTGGGAGGTGGAAGACCTGACGTGATGGTGCAGGGAAAACAATCTCATCCTCAGCCTCCAGAAGGCCAAGGAGATGGTTGTAGATTTATGCAGGACTGGCACTACCCCCGTCCACTGTGCAGTGGAGCAGCCGTGGAAATGGTCCTCTCTGTCAGGTACCTCAGGATGCATCTAGCCAGCACCCTCATCTGGCATACCACCACCATTGTGTCATTAAGAAAGTCCACCAGTGCCTGTACTTTATCATTTATTATGGTCTTATAGTGTTTTTTAATTAATTTTATTCCATTTTAATTGTGCCAAACATCTATTTATAATACTTTTTATGTTACGTCATCCTTGTTCTTATCTGCATTTTTTTTTTATCATTGTATACACCAAATTCTGGGTAATCATTTTTCATTCTTATCATGTAACGGTTTGAACAACAATATTAATAACCTGAAACTGAAATTGAAATGCATACCTGGTCACAGCCCAGTGAAGCTAAATATGCTAAAGCTAATGTATTGAGCATATTCTCATCAGACGTCTCAAGTATTCTAGAATCAAATGTGATGCCATCTGTCCAAAAAGTCCAAATTAAATTTTACAGCAGGGCAACGGTTCTAAAGAAGACAGCCAAACAGAACAGCTGGATAAAATGACTATAGTGCAGTAATAGTCAAATCAAATATCAGACTCAACTTGATTGAAATGGTATAAGATGCTAAAAAAGCTGAGCCTTAATGGAAGTCTGTAGAATCCAATAAACTGATGCAACATGCATAGATGAGTTTAAGGAAAAAGTCATACATATGAGGATTTCATACTGGTGTTAACAGTGGACCTACCAGTTATTATTATCAATTTGATTTGGAACAATTCATTACAATAATCTTTATCCTCTGGACAGCAGAGACACCCACATGTCCTTCCCTGTGTCTACATAAAGCAGTACTGACTGGCTGTTGAAGACTAATCACACAGATACCACAACGTGCTCATGGCATGTAATAGCTTTTAATTTTTAATAGTTACTGAAACAAAAATAAAGTTTAAAAATAAGCATTTTCTTTATAAACCTGAGTTAAACAGTGTGTCTTTAAGACTATTGTTGTGGAGGAAAAACCTTCACTCTCTTGTGCTATAGCTCACTCTGAGGTTTCTATCCATAGCATGCTGGTTTTTTCCATCACAGCTCTAGTGGAAAATACAGCCACACTGTGCTAATCAGTGCTAGAGTCTCAGTTTGGAGAGGGTGCGACTGAAGTGTGTACCTTCTGGTTGGTGTCTGTTGTGATCGCCAAGCCATTGGGCACAAGGCCAGCTGTTTTGTGCTTTTTCACCAGCCTCACAGAAATGACGGGAATAGCCACCTAAGCAGAAAGACAAAAGGCAGGAAAAATAATGTCATGGATGAGGACAAAATTCCACAACTAAAAAAAATAAGAGATAATTTATAAAGACCGTACAGAAACTCGACAGGTAACACAAAACGTGTGTTGTTTGAGTTAGAATGTGAAGAATGCAGTCTGAATAAGTGGCTTACTATCACTAAGATCTCAGAAGAGGTTCGGTTTCAAGGAAATGAAGGAAAAGGTAGAATGCTCCACATCAAAGACAAAGACGTCATATTAGGTTCAAGTGAAAGTCTGGGAACATCTATAGATTTACAAGACACAAAATCAACACAAAGACCTATAGAAAGTCTATAAGGAAGAAGTAAGGGCAAGAAACTAAGTTAATTCAAGATCCAAATAGATTTTTAGTAGAATAGTTTAGGTTGGCCAACCAGCCTGTTAGACTGTGACTTAAAAGTGATTTTATCTTTCTCAGTCAGTTTGGGTTTATTAAGCTTTCAGTGAGTTGCTTCATACCTTGATGTCCTTGCCGAAGAGGTTGGCATAGAAACACAACCAGTTTCTAGAAATGTACAGCCGACCCTGTAGAAGGATGTCTCTGAGGAGAGCGCAGGAGTACACTGAGAAAAGAGAAAAAATATATTCTGAAGATCTGAAAATATAATTAGGATGAATTTCTGCCTCTGGTTTAGCATAACAAGATTACAGAATAAGTTGATGTCAAATGAAAAATTGGGATATTTGACCAAATAGAAAAAGAAAAAGGTAAAACTTTAAAAGTTTGTTGGTAATTTTTATTATTTAAAAAACAGATTTTTAATTTAAATGTCTGTTTTGTGGGCAGCACGGTGGCGCAACTGGTAGAGCTGCTGCCTCTCAGCGAGCAGGTCCTTGGTTCAAACCCCGGTCTCGTTTGTCTCGTTTGTCTCTATGTGGCCCTGTGATGGACTGGAGACCTGTCCAGGGTGTAGCCCGCCCCTCGCACAGTGATTGTTGGACATGGACACCAGCGACCCCCGTGACCCAAAATGGAATAAGCGGGTAAAGATAATGGATGGATGGATGGATGGATGGATGTCTGTTTTGTATCAGTCAGAGAGATTTATTTGTCATATGCACCACACGTGATACATGAGGTGGGATGAAACTATGTATGCAGAATCTCGGTTAGATCCAACAAAAACACAAATTGTAAAGAAAAACATTAGTAAGATCCGAGTCATGAACTAAGAATATACTACATTCACTAAACTAAGAACTGGCGAGATCAGAGGGATCAGGCTGGAAAGGATGTGCAGCAGGTTAAGCTTGTCAAAGTTATAAATGGTAATGTTCTAACGAGTAAGGACAGCATGATGAAAATATGGAAGGAGTAGATTGAGGAACTAATGAATGAAAAGAATGAAATGGAAAGAAGAGTAGATGTCATAAACTGTGAACCAGAAAATGGGAAAGATTAGTGAAGATGAAGTTTAGAAAGGTTTGAAGTGAATGAAGAAAGGGAAAGCAGTTTGACCTGATAACATACCAGTGGAGGTTTGGAAATGTCTTGGGGAGATGCTTTTGATTCAAATATTCAGTGACATTTTTATGAGTGAAAAAATGTCAGATAATTGGAGAAGAAGTGTGCTGGTGCCCATTTTTACGATGATGTACAGAGTTGTAGTAACTACAGGGAATTAAGTTGATGAGCCACACGATGAAGATCTGGGAGAGAGAATTGTGGAAGCTAGACTTAGACAAAAGGTGACTATCTGTGAGCAGCATAATGGTTTCATGCCAAGAAAGGGCACCACAGATGCATCTTTGCTTTGAGGATGCTGATGGAGAAGTACAGAGAAGTTCAGAAAGAACTCCATTGTGTCTTTGTGGATTTAGAAAAAGCATATGATAGAGTGACGAGGGAGGAGGTGTGGTATTGCATGAGGAAATCTGGAGTGGCAGAAAAGTATGTTAGACTGGTACAGGACATGTATGAGGACAGCAGGACAGTGGTGAGATGTGCTGTAGGAGTGAAAGATAGCTTCAAGGTGGAGGAGGGAGTGCATCAAGGATCGGCTTTGAGCCCCTTCTTGTTTGCTCTGGTGATGGACCGACTAACGAGGCCAGACAGGAATCCCTGTGGACTATGATGTTTGCAGATGACATTGTGATCTGTGGTGAGAACAGGGAACAGATGGAAGAGAACTTGGAGAGGTGGAGGTATGCACTTGAAAGAAGAGGAATGAAAGTCAGCCGTAGTAAAACAGAGTACATGTGTGTGAATGAGAGGGAAGCTGGTGGAACAGTGAGGCTACAAGGAGCAGAGGTCACAAAGGTGCAGGACTTTAAGTACTTGGGGTCCACTGTCCAGCTATATCTGCTCACAACAGGTTCATGTTAGGGCTGCTGTTTAATACACCATATTATTTTACATTATTATTGTTTAGCATATATCTTAGATCCTTGTATACTGTTTCTTGTTTATACTTTATAGTTTTGCTATTTTTGGGTGTAACTGGGACCTTGAGTATACAATTTCCTTCAACCTCATGTACCACATGTGATGCGAATGACAATGAAGTCACCCTGAACCATGAAAATGGGGAGTGTGGTGAAGAGGTGAAAAAAAGAGTCCAGGCAGGATGGAGTGGATGGAGAAAAGTTTTCAGGAGTGATTAGCGACAAAAGGGTGTCAGCAAAGGTCAAAGGAAAAGTTTACAAGACAGTTGTGAGAGCAGCTATGTTGTATGGTCTGGAGACAGAGACATGGACAAAAAGACAGGAGAAAGATCTGGAAGTGGCAGAAATGAAGATGTTGAGGTTCTCTTTAGGAGTGACAAGGATGGATAAGATTAGGAATGACATCATCAGAGGTACAGCAAAAGTTGAACAACTGGGAGATAAAGAGACCAGACTGAGATGGATTGGACATGTCCAAAGGAGGGACAGTGGGTATATTGGTAGAAGGATGTTAGAAATGTAGCTGCCAGGAAAAAGACAAAGAGGAGATCTATGGATGCAGTTAGAGACATGGAGGTAGTTGGAGTGAGGACAGAGGATGCAGAGGACAGAGAGAGATGGTGGAGGATGACTCACTGTGGCAACACTTGAAAACAGAACAGTCAAAAGAAAAAGAAGAATTGTTGTTGTTGTTAATTTATTGTTAACTAGCTCAAGTTAGCTGATTCACTAGAGTTAGCTGCAGTCAACTACCCTCATCAAGTCTAAAATTGTGTTTGATTACTAACCAGGACATAATACTTACTGTCCTCATGTTTCTATCTGCTTGAATTTGAAATTTGGTTAAAATAATCCACTCAATAAAGGATTTAATTTTTGGAGTGGAAAAAAAAAAATCCTTATGGCGTGTGTCCAAAAATCTCTGGTAAGTATCTCAAAACAGAAGCCCTTGCAATTTATGGATGCCAAAAGCAAAGTGATTCTGGTTTGATCATTTCACTCCTTAATACCTTTACTATCCGTTACATACCTATAAAAATGTTGATAAATGTTTAACACTTTAATAAAGAAAGAATAAACACACATTGGTCACAAAAATAATTTTAAACTGACAAAAGTAATAATTTAAATAAAATAAAAATCAACTAATGAAACCCAGATATTCCTTTGATTTTTTTTGTTTAACAGAATTAATATAACTAAACTTGACAAAAAGGGAGTCACGTGATGCAGCCGCTGCAGGCAGACGTGTGTCGTGAGCTCCAGGTATACCTCAGCAGTGAATGATGGCTTTATACTAACTACTACATTGCTCCAGATATAGAATTTATTCCTGAAACAGTGGACAAATACTTAGTACTCAAACCTGACTGTGTAAGAACACTCTTTAATGGCCCTAGATCACAGATTTTGACTAATGGCGTTCTGTCGGACGCCTTCTCGCTCTCCCGAGGCTGTGGACAGGGCTGCCCAAGTTCTCCTAGCCTATTTTCCATTGCCATAGAACCATTAGCAATTGCTATTCGTTCTGACTTATCTATTGCAGGTAAGAGGGTAGGTACAGAAGAACATAAACTTGCGCTATATGCAGACGATCTGTTAGTATTTATATCTCAGCCATCTAAATCCTTTCCATCTTTACTGGCATGCCTGGGGTCGTACAGTGCAGTTTCTGGCTACAAAATCAATTATTCCAAGAGTGAAGCGTTTCCACTTAATATGACAGAGCAGGAGACACAATTATTACCTGGTTCATTTAAATGGTGCCCGGATGATTTCACATACCTTGGCATTAATATTAGTTCCTCGTCTGATCAAATTTACCAAAAGAATTACACATCACTAATTAATAAAACTAAAGCAGAGCTGGAACAATGGATGGATCTCCCACTATCTTTAATTGGCAGAGTCAACTCAATTAAAATGTCTATATTACTTAAATTTATTTACTTATTTCAATGTGTCCCCTTAAAAGTGCCATTGAGATATTTCAAAGATTTGGATAAAGCAATATCTCTATTTTTATGGCGAAAGAAGGTCCCAAGAGTTAAGCTTCTTACTTTACAGGCTCCTTATGCTAAAGGCGGTTTAAATTTTCCAAATTTTAGAATATATTACTTAGCTTCCCAGTTCCGTATTCTATGGATGTGGACTCACTCAAATGCCAACGATGTGAGGTGGTTTTCGATAAAACAACAAGAATTAAAATCGATGTCATTAGCAATTATCCCCTTCTTGGGTTCAAAAAAGCAACTCTCTACAATTACATCAAATCCTTTAATTTTAGCCACCTACAATGCATGGCTTCAATTACATGCTCTCTTAAACCTAAACATACAATTGTTGGTTAACACACCTCTCAAAGGTAACCTTAACATTCCCCAACCTATAGCAGATGGTATACTACAAACTTGGGTCAGAAAAGGCATTAGAACAGTAGGTGATCTTTATACCAATAATGTCTTTGCCAGTGTAGTGAACCTGATGACCTGATGATCTGACCCTTATCTGACCCTGA